TTCTTGAGCCAGTACAACATTGACATCCGTCCCAGGCCTGCCATCAAGGGCCAAGCCCTGGCGGACTTTGTGACGGAATGTACCGCAAGGGCAGCCACGGACGGGGAGCCCTCGGCTACCTCGGACGACTGGTGGACCCTCTACATTAACGGCTCCTCCGCGACCAAAGCATGCGGGGGAGGGGTAGTCCTCATTACTCCCGAGGGCTTCAGGGCCTACTATGCAATCCGCTTCTCCTTCAAGGTCTCCAACAATGAGGCCGAATATGAGGCCCTCCTATGTGGCCTTCGGCTGGCTGCCAACATGAGGGTCGGCAGATCGACATCAAATGCGACTCCAAGTTGGTCGTTGGCCAAATCTCCGAAGAATATGAGGCCAAGGAGGGGAGAATGAAACAGTACAAGGAAGCGGCCAAGGAGTTGCTTAAGGTATTTGAGGCACACTCTCTCACTCAAATACCGAGGGCTCAGAACTCTGAGGCCGACATATTATCTAAGCTCTTGGCCGACTCCCCCGAGCACATCTCCAAAATTGCCAAAATCGAGGAACTCAACCTCTCAAGCATCCATGCAAGCCCCGTTATGAACATACAACAACGTCAGGAGGATTGGATCTCAGATATCACCGCCTTCATCTCCACAGGGCAGCTACCCGAGAATGAGGCACGCGCTAAACTGGCAAAGTTGAGGGCTCCCAGCTACACCATCGAAGATGGAAGGCTCTACAAACGATCTTACAATGGCACGCTACTTCGGTGCCTTCATCCAGATGAGGCCGAGGTCGCAATGGAGGAAGTGCACTGTGGCACTTGCTCAGCTCACCAGGGACCCTTCTCCATGTCCCGAAGGCTCATTCTCCAGGGCTACTTCTGGCCAACCATGGCCAGGGATTGTGCTGACCTTGCCCGGAGGTGCACCGCATGTCAACATTTCCAGAAAGCTCCCGGCAGGCCAGCGGTCAACTATGCCCCCATCAGCACCTCTGTCCCATTTTCTCGATGGGGGATAGACCTTGTGGGCCCTCTGCCGAGGGGTACCTCCAACAGCAGATACATCATTGTGACCGTCGACTATTTTACCAAGTGGGTGGAGGCTGACCCCTCGCCAGCATCACAGAGGCGAAGTGTCGTCACTTCGTCCTCAAGAACATCCTCACAAGGTTTGGCGTCCCCCAGCAGATCATCTCCGACAATGGGACACAATTTGAGGCAGCCCCCTTCTGTGCCATTCTGGAGGCATGGGGCATCAAACACACCTTCTCCTCCGTTGCCTACCCTCAAGGCAACGGGCAAGTAGAGAACGCCAACCGGACCTTGCTCGAGGGCCTCAAAAAGAAGCTGGAGGCCGAGGGTGGTGGCTGGGTGGAAGAACTCCACAACATCCTTTGGGCCTACCGCACCACCCCTCGGCGAGCAACAGGAGAAACACCCTTCTCCCTCTGCTACGGTTTTGAAGCCAAAGCTCCTACGGAAGTCACCCTTCCTACCCGAAGGGTGATCCAATATGATCCCGAGGTCAACGACAGCAACATGGCCCTCGACCTCCACCTCATTTCAGAACGCCGGGAGCAGGCCTTCATCCGGGCAGAAAACTACCGAAGGCAAGTTAAAAGCTACATCGACGCCAAAGTTCGCACCCGAGAATTTCAAGTAGGGGACTATGTCCTCCGGAGGAGGGAAGCCAGCCAACCAACCGAAGGAGGAAAAATGGCACCAAAATTCGAAGGCCCCTACATCATAGCAGCCATCATCAAACCCGGGACCTACAAGCTCAAACGCCCCAATGGGAAAGAAGTCCCTAGGCACTGGAATGTACACCATTTAGTTAAATTTTATCAATAATGTAAGAGCGGCCAAGCCCTTATAACTAGTGAATGTACTATCCTATGGCCCAAGGCCTCCAATTTCGAAGAATGAAGATACATTCAAGACATCAAGCCCTCATACTGACTACAGGCCCCCGGCCTCACTACGAGAGGAACCCCCTCCGGCACCAAGTGTCGAGGGCGGACACCATCAACACCTGCAACAACAGTGAAAACACCACATGTTTTCTATCAAGACCCCTCGGTACCAAGTACCGAGGGAGGGAACTCCTATCACCAACAACAAAGAACGCCATGTAATTCATTTCCCTTCGGCACCCAGTGCCGAGGGTACATCCCCCCTTCAACATCAAAAAAGAAAAAGATGAGAACACCAAGTGTTCCTATAGAAGACCCTTCGGCACCCAGTACCGAGGGTACACCTCCATCATCAAACATCGAAACGAAGAAAAAACACCAAATGTCTCAAAGAGGACCCCTCGGCACCCAGTGCCAGGGATATGCTCTCCTATCAACTTCCAAACATCTGTTGGGAAACACCAAGTGTTTCATTTGGAGACCCTTCGGTACCAAGTACCGAGGGTAGACGCCTACATCAACTACAACAAAAGAGAACACCAAGTGTTCCTACAGAAGACCCCTCGGTACCAAGTACCGGGGGCTACACATCGAAACTAACACCAAGTGTTGTTTCTAAAAGCCGTACCCCACGAGGACGCATATACCGAAGGCGCCACCATCGATGCCGGCGGCACGTAGTGCCCCCGGCCATTTGCAACTAGTGTGCAAATGAAAACCCTTCCTTGAAACGCTTTCCGCGTCACTACCCCCAGGGTATGACAGGCATGAGAAATGTCCAGGATTCGACTTTCAAAAACAGAACGCTATCCGCGTCACTACCCCCAGGGTATGACAGGCATGAGAAATGCCCAAGATTCGACTTCCAAACCGAAACGCTCCCCGCGCCACCACCCCAAGGGTGTGGCAGGACACGGACTATGTCTAGCGCTGAGGGGACGACTTTCAAAAATGAGGCGCTTTCCGCGCCATCCCCCAAGGGGAGGCAGGTTACGGACCACCATATCTTGTGCCCAGGAAACGTCCCTCGATCCCCTCGGAACTCGGAAGGTTAACCCGAGGGAGGAGAGCCATTGGTGTATTCTGATGGTCTCCTAATAGGCCCAGCCTTACCAAGAAACCAAGTTTCTTGATGCCTTCCCTTCACCACCAACCAAAAAAAAAAAAGAGGGGGTGAAGGGGAGTAGACTCAGCGAGAAATCAAAGAGTACACTTCAACAGATCACAACATGCCGAGGGCTCCCCACGTGAACACCTCCGGTAATTGAAGGCTACTATTTCCCGAAGGATACTACTCAAACAAATATCATCAAGAAACGGCTAAGTCCACTGCCTGGTCACCTCCGGTCACACAAGCACCGAAGGCTTCAACAATACCAAGGGACGGGACTATCCAAAGCCCCCTAAACGGTACTACAAATACCGAAGGCATCTGTTATGCATTAATACCGAGGGCCCCTACCCCATTACAAGGGACACAACTGGCTGAGTCAAACTCTACAAACTCTTCAGAGTGTATGCCGAGGGCACACACTCATCATTGGCTTTCTTCACAACAACAGGATTCCACACTTTTCCTAAGTCCACATTTTTGGAAAATGACGGCAACCGGAGGCTAATATATCACCAGACAACCGAAGGCATATATTACAAATCATCAAAAATGAACCGAGGGGGACTACTCCAAAATATTTGCCCCCCGAACAGACTCCTCACTGACCGAAGGTCCAACATCTACGACGCACTGTGAAATTTTGCTAAAGTTCCACGTATTTGGCCCTCGATCAAATGCTCTTACAACTCAAGGGGCCCACGATCACCCGAAGGGTCCTGTTCATATATCCGGAGGGCTCTACACCTGGAAGCTTGACATCACTTTACACTTGCAAAAAAAAATTCTAAGTCCTAAAATTGGGCCCCCGGCTCAATCAATATTACAGCCAAGGGAATACAATAGCCGAAGGCTATGCGATACAACAACACTTGCAAAAAAAAATTCTAAGTCCTAAAGATGGGCCCCCGGCTCAATCAGTATTGCAGCTAGAGGAATATGACAGTCGAAGGCCATACATCAAGAAGGGATGCCATCTCCCGAAGGCTCCCAAGGGAAAATCTACGCTTAGGATATTTTCTAAGTCCTACATGTTTTCCCCCCGGTCAACTACTCATACATCAAGAAGGGATGCCATCTCCCGAAGGCTCCCAAGGGAAAATCCACACTTAGAATATTTTCTAAGTCCTACATGTTTTTCCCCGGTCAACTACTCATACATCAAGAAGGGATGCCATCTCCCGAAGGCTCCCCAGGGAAAATCCACACTTAGAATATTTTCTAAGTCCTACATGTTTTTCCCCGGTCAACTGCTCATACGTCAAGGAGGGATGCCATCTCCCGAAGGCTCCCAAGGGAAACTCTACACTTAGAAGATTCTCTAAATCCTACATATTTCACCCTCATCTCAAGGGACCTAATCGCCGAAGGCTGCCTATCAATCGAAGGCTACAGTACACAAGGAATCAACACTCAAGAAAATTTCCTAAGTCCTATAGAATTGGCCCCCGGCCTACTCAATATTTCAGTTGAGGCTCCACAGTAGCCGAAGGCTACGTGACGTACTACACTTGCAAAAAAATTCTAAGTCCTGTACATTGGGCCCTCGGTCCAACAATCACACATCAGGAAGGGATGCCATATCCTGAAGGCTCTCAAGGGGAAATCTACACTTAGAAATTTTTCTAAGTCCTAGGATTTGGGTTACTACAGACGCCCGAAGGCCTCATGCTGTGCTACACTTAGGAAAAATTTCTAAGTCCTAATTGCTGCTGAACCCTCGGTTGCATATCCAGCAGAGGGTGCCCAACTACCGAGGGCTTCCAGGGGAAAGCTACAATCAGAAAATACTCTAAGTCCTAAAACATACACTCAAGGAAAACGGAGGCATACATTCAAGAAGAAAGGAATTGGAGAAAACAAGTCATATAAACACAGCCCGAAGGCAATCATTCAATCATCAACAAACAGAGGGCAAATGTAATACGAATAAATGTTACAAGCAGGCCGAAGCCGAAGGATGAATAATGTCACCATTACAAATACATGTTTACATAATACAAAATACATATCAAATAATGTCATTCCCGGGGGCCGCCTCCCCCGATGGCTTCGAGGTGACTTCTGCGTCGGCCTCAGGTTCGTCGCCCTCGGCTTCCTTCATGAGCTCAGAGTCCTCCAGGTCTGGCCTCTCGACATCGGGGGGAAGAGGAACGCGGATGTCTGGCTGCAGGGGGGAGCCCGTATGCTGCCGGGTCAAAGTCCTTTGGCTCGATCTTCAAGTGGAGAGCCATGCTCCGGTAGATGAGGGCTTGAGTGAAAAACTCGCCCCCATCATAGTATTGTTTACCCTTTCGGGAAACCCACTCCACGCCAGGCCCATCACACCACTCGTCGACCGAGGACTCGACGACCGAGGACAGCCATTGCTTGTGCTCCTCGGACCGCCACCCCCCTGCCAAGAACCCCGAGATTGCGTCCCCTCGGGCTCTCTCGACGGCTTCCACCTTCGCGGCCTCGGCTTCCTTGACAGCTCTCTCCAAGGCCTCAGCTGCGGACCTCTCGGCTTCAGCCCTACCCCGATCTGCGGCTTCCGCCCGCAGGGTCATCTGCCGAAGGCTCTCCTCCAGCATAGCCATCTGTCGAACAGCGTCTGCATTCTGGCGGATGAGCTCCCGCATCTTGGCCTCCTGCTCGGCCTTGCGAAGGCGCCACTCATCTAGCCGCCGGGCTTGCTCCCCGAGGGCAATGCAGGTCTACAAAAACAAAGGGGTTAGCGAGGCCAAACATGGTTTCTTAGCTCGAAGTAGAAAAGAAAGAAATAAACATAAAAGACTTACTGTGAGGGAAGACCGGAGGATCCTGTCCTCGAGGGCTTCGTCTTCATCAGCCCCGAGGGCTACTCTGTCAATCTCGAGGGTGATGCCTCTCAGAAGCGCCCTCGGGTCGGCCGTACCGTTCCCACAGGGTTTTTCCTAATGAGGTTTTTAACGAGGCATCCCCCCAAAATGAAACGAAAAGCGTCAGCCTTCGGCCCACAACAGCAACACAACTACTCTACTCCTTTTTCACCACTTTACAAGTGCCTCAAGGAGTGGGGGACTGGAGGACCCCCTCGGGAAAATCATTAAACTACAAAATTAGTAAAAATCCAACAAACGACAAGGCAAGCCCTCAAGTCCCGACATGTGGATAACTGAGGGACTGCCTTCGGAAGGGACATAAAAGCAACAACTCCTCACCAACTTCAGAGATCACGACGGGACAACATCAAAAGGCAAGCACAAATTACTTCTTTTCCCTCAATTGCCTTTCGGTAAAAGGAGTGAGGGACTCCTGATGGAGTATATGGCCCGGGAACCCCCGGCCCACAGACTCCTACTACTCCAGCAAAGGCCCAACAGTCCCAAATCACAGCGCCCAGAGTACCAAGCAGCCCGCACCACGCGCCAGGGGTGCCTTCGGCCCCCTGGTCGAAGGCTCTAAACTCTCACAGAACGGGTTTCTCAAGCAAAATAAGAAACTGGGAGAAAACGGCAAAAAACAGTAGCCCTCGGCACTGTGAGCCCTCGGCACCAGGGTGTCATCGGCTGGAGGAGCCCTCAGCTACTGCTCTATAGCCGAAGGCATCTCACTCGACAAGATATCCGCCTCACATGCGTACAGATCACCGTACCCCGCACAGACGTCCCATCCAACAGCCACATTAAATGCGGCCACATGCGGCTGCCTGCACCAACCAGTTGAGATGACCCCTCGGCCAATGAGCGCTTGACACGTGTCCCTGCCCGGCATTTATTGCTACTATAAATAGCACCCCATTTCCCCATTTGTAACCACGCTGAAAACGGCATTCATATTGAATACACTCTCTCTCTACTTTTACTTACTTGCTCTGACTTCTCTCTAAGTTATTCCCCGTAATAACCCTTCGGATATATACCCCCGGGTAGACTATCCATCACTTACTTTGATCACGATTTTCTACTAATACATTTTCTCATAATGTGAATTTCCATAATATTACATTTTAAAAATGTTTACTAATACGTAATCAAATATAATTACAGTAAAAGTTGTGCGTTGGCAAACGTAAAAAATCAAACTGTTGTAAATATTAAAGAATGGGGATATTAGTAGGAATTACGGGTAAATTATACCGTACACCCGGGTGTATGTACACCCGGCTATTTTGTAATTCCATGCAACTCTAAGGCTTCTTCTCCTGCTCCATATATGTTGCACGAACCAGTTGTGCCTGGAAACCTTAGTTGTCCATCCACCGCCTCAGTCAACGAGCATCAGGGAGTGGGGCCACATGAGAGACGTTGAGCGGATAACCTATCAAACCAGCCAGTTCGTTCGCCCACCTAAACCGGCCACCACCAGCGAGTTCCGGAGCCGGCCAGTCTTCCAACCGTCAACCCGCCCCCCACTTCCGCTTTCAGCGGTAATCCCACCAGAAAAGATCACCCCAACGAGCACCAGTCATCTTCTCCGAGAAGTTCGCTGCGTCGTTTCCTCCATCTCTGGTGTTGCAGAGATTCTATAGGACAACGTTAATGCTCTGTATAGACTACATTCCGTTGAGATTGACCTGACAAATCAATCCAACCCTTGCCACATCGCTCTCGCGTGCCAAATGAGCATAATGTTTAAACGAAATGAGTATAGACAAATAAGGTTTTGAGCACATTATCAATTTCAAATGGCATTTTGGATTTTTCGATACTCCTTTTGTAAGTGGTTCCTAATACTCAACTGAATAAGTGTGATGCTCATTGAAAGTGTTTTAATACTCATAATAAGTTTGATGCACATTAAAAGTTCATTAATGATCATTTAACAGAAATTGTGATTTTTATCTCAACATATAAGGTTTGATGCTCAATGAAAATGTTGTTATGTCAAACTAACAAACTTTACGATTTTCATATCAATTAACAAGTGTAATAAGTTACGATTTTGTAACTAACAAACTTTTCGATTAACAAACTTTACGATTTTCATATTATATTTAGATATCTACTTTATATTAATTATCTACTTATAATTTATAAATACATACATTATATTACTTATACTTTTATTATATCTATTAATATAGTTGGAATTATATCTAATTAATTTGAAGTCATTCTATTACTCCCATCCGAAAGACCGAAAGTCCGAAAGAGATACTAAATCATTCTATTATTTACACTTGTTTAATTTTGTATTAACATTACTTGAAAAAAAACTAGTTAATTCTCATTACAGTTAAAGTTAAACTATAATAATTTGATTGTTAGTAATGAAAAAAATAGGTAGTACTAAATAGGTAGTACAAAAAATTGGTTGATAAGCCTTATAAGCTGAAAACAGTGTTAACAAACGGCCTGTGCATCTATGCACTGTATGTATACTGTATACATATATTGATTTTTTAAGATGACGCCATAAATGTTTCAAAAAATAGGGTTATTATATGAAATATATTCACTCAATCTCACAATTTATTCCTGAGTTATGATTGAAAATTTGAGAAAATGAAGACAATATTGCTAGAATATGAAACTTAGAAAGTGCAACATATATTAATCAAGAAAACCCGAAGTTTGTTTTGAATTTCTTTGACGATGGAGTAAAATGATGACTTTATTGTCACCGAGCTAGGATTTTATAGGTTCAAGATGTATAAGTCAATGTTATAAACGAAATTTAACATAGGAATATAGAATAATGAAATTGAACATGAAAACTTAACGGGTGTTTGGTAAATGAAATTTCAACCCAAAAATGAGGGCTTAATCATTTTTGGCGATTTCAATAAATGAAAATTGTTTGGCAAATAAGAGAGTTTTGAGTTAACGTTTTGAAGTATGACGTTTTTTATTAATTTTATGGCCAAACAGCTAAATTACCAACAAGGCTGGTCATGTTCAGTTTTGGGCCTATGAGTGATATACTATTTTGGCCTTATTTCCAAGATAGGCAATAAATTATAATTACTTAAAATAAGGATTACAGAATTAGAGGCAATAAACCTATGAAAAATTACCTTTAATAGGACGAAAAACTTTTGTATATTCCAAAATAAGACTAGTGTTTTTATTCCATAAATAGGAGTAATCACTACCATCTTTTGGCAGTATCAGACTTTAAACATGACACTACTTTCCAAACTTGACAGTAATTACTCATATTTAGAAAATAAAAATATGACATGCCTCTTTTAAAATTCTCAAACATTTTTACTCTTATTCCGGGAATTCTCCCTAAAACTATCTGATGGATCGTCGGACCAGGGGTGGCCGGAATCCACCGAAAATGAGAGAAGTTGGAAGGTGATTAATTAAGCATCCCTAGTAGTAGTAGGGAGAGAGTGAACTGGTTTGCCGATCTCACAGTATAGGATTCAGAGTGCGATTATTTAAGCATCCCTATCCACAAGTTGGAAGGTGATATTTATACTAAAGAGAAAAGGAAATACTTGGTGCCCATGTAAAAGGATGCTAGTCTAATAGGAGGGGGCACGTGTAAAGTTACTTTAACAAACTAATAGCCTAATTCGATGGGGAGCAGCCATGTGTAAAGCTGACTGGAGAGAGAGTCTTCAACAGCTAGCTAATTGGAGTGTGCGCCTAACAGATTTGCTGCCACAAATCTCGTGTGGTTAAGCGTGGGTAATTGAGAATGTTCCCTGGTGATGTGGCGGTCTCTCCTTGAGGGGTAGATCCTTGCGAATTTTGTCTAAGTCCATGATGCTTTATCCAGACCTCGGGGTTTGCTGAGGTCGGTACCTGGGAGCTCGGAAGTTCGAGCTCGTGATGGGAGGACTCGCCTCCCAGGTGTTTGACTGCCTGATGCTTGACTGTTGTTGACCAATTGTTTGACTGTCGTTGACTTTCGGGGCCAGACCTGGTCCCGACCTCGGATGCATCGAGGTCGGGCTCATAAGTTTCCGAGTTCGGTTAATCCCTGAGCCTGCTGTCTTCCCGACCTCGGGGTCAGGCTCAGGCTCTGCAAGCCTTGTCATTCGTTGAGTTCGATTGATTCCTGAGCTTGGTGTTTTCCCGACCTCGGCGGTCAGGGTCAGCCTTGGAGTGTGGACTTTAATATTTTGCGTACTTCAGAATGCGTCTGTGATATTTTATACCGGCGATTATGATACCCCTGGGGTATACGGGAATATAGTCCATCATGAGTCCCCCACTCTCCGAAGCGAAAGTGAAACTTGAGGTGAGGGAGAGTAAATCTTCAATTTCCTGGGCATGTTCGCCCGGCAGGGGTTCTGCTCTTCCATGGTCATGACAAAGGGGTACCTCATTAAAAACTCTGTTGAGGAAAAAACACTGTGGGAAAAAAATCCTAACGGAGGAAAAAGAGTATACTCCGCTTTGCCATGAAGTCCGGAGAGGAAAGCAACGCCCCACTGCAGAGAAGTCCGAGCTCAAACTTCGTGTATTCCGCGTTCCAATCATGCCTCATGGGTTAGTTGCTACATCCGCGGCCCCGGCCGCGGGTTGATAACATTTTTGAAAAAATTGTAAGGAATTTTAATCTATGTGCGAAGCTTGAAGATATACCTGTTCGGTGCTGAGCCCGAGATGGCTACGTTGTTCTGAGCTTGTTTGTTGTAGTCCTATTTTTGCTATTTTTTATTTCTTTCCCGAGTCCCCACTTACCAGTCCCCCACTCTTGTGGACTTCGAATATTTTCTAAGTGCGGAAGAGTATGAGTTTGAGGGGGACGAGGCAGTTGCATTTATCGCTTGGTGGACTTAGGAGAATTTGTGGCGTATAGTAACGTTGATGTGTACAAATAGGAATCTTTACACATTCCTTTTGCAACATTATGAATTAATAGCCGCTTCTCAGCATTTAATGCGAGGGATGGCGTTTGAAGTGACAGTACGACGCCATCATTGTGCCTTTTTGCACGCCTTTTTGAAAAAAATCTTTGAGTTTTT